TCCTACACACTGGTCCTTTTTAAAATAAATTTTGTCCTTTATTTTGCTAAGAATATATAACTACAAAAAAAAGTGTCATATTTTGTAATGGTAAATGTACAATAATTGCCAAGGATTCAATCCAGCAACCATTTCTTTAAACATGACTTTGTTTGCCTTTTGTTTACTGAGGAAGTGGTCTGTCAGAATCCTTTTATTTGATGTGTTTTTAGCTAAAAATAGGTGTGGCAAGTGTCGGACATTTAAATCATCCAGTCATTCCATTCATCCTCATTATGTTTCTCATTTTGTTTTTGCCTCTAGCACACCATCATCCCACGAGGATCCTTGTCTCTTAAGGTGCTTGCAGAGCTGCCTATCATAGTGGTGCTGATGTATCAGGTCAGTGACATTCTCCTGAACTTCTTTAAATATATCCCTCACAGTAACCTTTGGTTAATTAATAATTCCTTCAACAGGTCAAATGAATGAGGGGAATTAGCTATTGCAAAATGTGTTATCTGCTTTTTGCCTAAAAAATTGGATTCAAATGCAAAGGAAAAACATAAAAATGACAGTCAATTACAAAGTTTAGGGTAAAATATGCTTCCCTATGAAGGGATTTAAGTTGCCATTTATTTTAAATATTTTTACACTGCTAACTGAATTAACTCATCTGCATTTCTATATAATTGGAGTTATGGAAGTTTCAGCATATTTTCCCTTAAAATACATAAAGCATGGAGTTTTGGAATGAAAATAAATCAAATGTGGTTAGTTTCTCATTAACTGAACTTGTATCTTTGTTCTGTGCCCTCAGCTATATAAGCTGAACATTCACAATGTGGTGTCAGAGTTTGTACCCCTCATCATGAACACCATCATGCTCCAGGTGTCTCCGCAGGCCAGGTAAGATGCATCTTTGTATGTGTGTGTCCTTGGAAGTTCATGTATGTGGGCTGTGGAAGTGTGCCTAGATAAGAGTTTGAATGTGCTTTTAACACACTTCGTTTTCACTTTATAGCCTTCGAACAGGGTTCGGGCACGCTCAAGAGAATTGATTTTTTTTCTTCCCCTTTTCCTCTCTTGCACTAAGTTTGTTGATGGTGTTGCTCGGCACTTTGCCTGCCAAAGCCGGAGTTAAAATCCATTTGGGGAAGTTAAAATTGTAGAAATTGGCTTAGCAGGAGTTGTAACCTCTCAGGGTGGGAAGAGGGTTGCGTTAAGCATTCCAAACAGGACGGAAATGGAGCAGAGTTAATTTAGAAAAAATACCTCAGCAGTCTCTGGCAGGTATAGACAAAGTTTGTTCCTGATGTGCAGTAACAGCTGTGACGCAAGGAAACAAGTCACCCATGTAGAAATGAGTCCCACATGTAGACCCACAATTTCAACCTCCATAATTGCCACCTACTGTAGGTATTCAACATCATTATGTTATCATCACGTCTTTGATGGGATTTCATAGATTTTTTATATAAATCTCTTTCCTCTTTCCTTTGCAGGCAACACAAGCTTTACAACAAGGAGTTGTATGCAGACTTCATTGCTGCGCAGATCAAGACTCTGTCATTTCTAGCCTACATCATTCGAATTTACCAGGTACACCTGTTTGATGGCTGCATGTTGCATCAGTTTCCACTGTCAATGACTCATTAAACCTATTGTCATTCTGCCTTAAAGGAAAGTAGTTGTCATATATAGTTGAAGCCCTGTCACTTGCATCATGGTATGGTTTTTCCTTGACAATATTTGGCAATTTGTAATATATACTTCTAATTTTTTTGTTGTTTTTAAAATGAATCTTTTGGCTTGATTGGCTTGACATTAACTACTAGAACAAATCCCTAGAATATAAAGATGTTGCTGTATTAAATCAAGCAAACATGTTTTGAAGGATTGTTTCCCGGATATAATTTCTTCTTGCAGGTGTCAGGTGATTGGCAGGAGGCAGACATAACACAATGTGCTCACTGATATGAAGACACAGAAACTGGGAAAGATAAAACAGACACTTTGAAAAATTAAATTAAGCCTCACTATTTACTTTACTTTTGCACACTGAACATGAATGAATGACACAAATAGCTTCTTCTGAAGCTATCTCCTGCTATACTGACTATGTGCAGACATTATCAGGAACAGTGTAAGACAATAAAAACCCACATGCATCAAAGACGACTGATAATACCATAAAAAGAACTTCTAACCCACCTAGAAGAATTCTATTAGTAGGGGATTTAGTTTACAATTTCCACCGTTACAGACTCCTTGCCTGTCCAAATTAAATTAAGATATATTAAATTAAAAATATGTTGAATACTGGCCCAAACATTTGGCTTGTGTTGGTATTAACTACAAGTCTATATTAAATATTTTTGTGGAACATAGCTTGTAACAACATGTATTTTAGAAATGAATTGTGCCTTTAATCGTATGTTGAATGTGTGTGTCTCACGTCAGGACCTGGTAGGAAAATACTCTCAGCAGATGGTAAAGGGCATGCTGCAGCTGCTGTCCAACTGCCCCTCTGAGACTGCTCACCTCCGCAAGGAACTGCTCATCGCAGCCAAGCATATCCTCACAACTGACCTACGTAGCCGTATGTACACACACACACACACACGCGCAAATGCATATGAAATAACGTGAAAAAGGAAAGTCACAAGGTGACATTTTTATACTGGGTCATATTTTTTTTTCTCCTCATCAAAAGATGAAAAAACTTTAAGGCTAATTGTAGTTAAATGTGTTCTTATGGTTAAAACATAAGATAGATACTTGCCAAGTCATACTTAATTTTTCACATTTCACGCCTCTGAAATAACATTTTTATTAGCCATTAAACTGTGGCTATAGAACCTTATTTTGATTTGGTGACTGAGCGGTAAAAAGTGCGACTGAATGAAAAAGAATAAAAGCTCAGCCACCCATCAGTGAAATCTTGAGTCACCATTTTGGATGATTTTCTGCATTATACTGTGAGTTACTTCTGCTTCTGTAGCTCAAACCATTTCCAATGATTCGTCTCATTTGACATTGTGGAGTTGCAGAAAACTGAGGAAGATATCTAACCACAATTAGATGTTTGAGTGACAGTTATTCTCTTGCTGCCAACACAGGGACACAGTTATATTTCTATTTGATAAAAACAAACATTTCTATTTTATGTACGTTTATTCTCTTGTCTAGTAAAAATATATTTTTTAACACCATTCATGTGTATTCTTTGTCATCTTCTTTTTTGGAGCACACTTAAAATCTTTGGATCATGTCACAAAAATGTATCTATTTGTTTTTTTAGAGTTCATACCTTGTATGGACAAACTTTTTGATGAAGCCATCCTCATCGGTTCTGGTTACACCGCCCGCGAGACTCTTAGGTGAGTATTGTGTGCGTTCACCATCATTTGATTTCCTCAGTGTCAGAACTCTCTCTCTGGGTTGATTGCTCAGCCAGGTGCATGTTAAGTATCCTAGCATATTAATCAGGCACTTCTTAGTGTTGCTGAAATTCACAGGGAAGCTGACTCCCAGCACTGCAGCACAGATCGTGCTGTCAAGTTGTCATGTTCAAACGCATCTCTAGAGGGCATGCTGCCCGCACACCCTCTCTTAGGTCGATCTTAAAACATTGTTGACCCTCTTCACGTGCCAAACTAGCTCACCTCATCAACAAAATTGCTGTCATTTCACATTAGTACTGCATAGGCAAGAGGCAGTTGGCTGACACATGGCAGGACTATCAGTGTCACTCATTAGCTCACCTTCTTTCTCTATCTCTCTCCCACCCTGTTGTATAACCTACTTTCCATACCTGTCAAGCTTTTCCTGAGATCTGTCTTCCTGATTAGTACTTTTTCAGCCTTTTTAGCAAATCATTTCACTGGAGCATGGCTCTTTCAGTTATCACTACTATAAGTCATGAAATGTGATGATAATTCTGCTGCAGATGTCATAGTTAGATGTTTCTCTTTCTTTCCAGACCCTTGGCCTACAGCACGCTAGCAGACCTGGTGCACCATGTTCGTCAGAACTTGCCCCTGACAGATTTATCCTTAGCTGTACAGCTGTTTGCCAAGAACATTGATGACGAGTCGCTTCCCAGCAACATCCAGACCATGTCCTGCAAGCTGCTGCTCAACCTGGTAGACTGCATCCGCTCAAAGTCCGAGCAGGAGAACGGCAATGGACGGGACATCCTGATGAGGATGCTGGAGGTGGGCAGCACAGAGCTTGGATCAATAGAACAGACACTAAAATCACACATTGATGAAGAAATATTGAATTAATTTTTCCCTCTTTTTCCTATAAATCAGGTGTTTGTGCTGAAATTTCACACCATCGCACGCTACCAGCTCGTCTCCATCTTTAAGAAGTGCAAGCCCCAGTCAGAGATGGGTGTGGTCGACCCAGGAGCGTTGCCTGGAGTACCAGCCACACCCACTCCATCCACCACCCCTGCTATTCCACTTCCTGCTCCTCCCACGCCTGTTGCCACGGCGCCTCCACCTCCTGCAACGCCCTTTGACCGACCTGGTGAGAAGGAAGACAAGCAGACTTTTCAGGTGTCGGACTGCAGAAGCTTAGTCAAGACTCTGGTGTGTGGAGTTAAGACGATTACTTGGGGCATCACCTCTTGCAAGGCCCCTGGAGGTGAGAAGACGCATATTTATGCTCAACAACCATGATGGCATTAGGCACTTTATTTAAAAGCATCTAGCTGGGTGTCCCGCATATAAACACACATCTATTAATGATTGTTGGATGAAATTTGAACTTACGAACATGTCTAACTGTGTTTTTAAAAACCTTTTCCAGAGGCTCAGTTTATTCCTAATAAGCAGCTTCAGCCAAAGGAGACACAAATCTACATTAAGCTGGTAAAATACGCCATGCAGGCCTTGGACATCTACCAGGTACAGCCACAGATATTGACTATATCATCAGTGAAATTAAGTTTGTAGAGATGCAAAAATCCCTAACAAATAACAGTGTCAACAGGGCACATATAATGATTTAAATCCAACGGGAACCCAGTACAACATCATATTTCTCCTGACCAGGTACAGGTTGCCAATAACCAGCAGACATACATCAGGGTGGCCAACTGTCAGACTGTACGCATGAAGGAGGAGAAAGAGGTTCTGGAGCACTTTGCCGGGGTCTTCACCATGATGAACCCTCTCACGTTCAAGGAGATCTTTCAGACAACTGTGCCGTACATGGTGGAGAGAATCTCCAAGAACTATGCATTGCAGGTACATGCCATCTCGCATATAAACAAGACATGTGATATTAGTTGTGTATTTTTCTGACCGTGATGACTTCGGTCTTAATTTGGCACTTGCGCTAAAATTCCACTTTTGTTTTCTGTCTTTTTCCCAGATTGTGGCAAATTCTTTCCTGGCCAACCTGTCAACGTCTGCTCTATTTGCCACCATCCTAGTGGAGTATCTTCTTGAGAGACTACCAGAAATGGGATCCAATGTTGAACTCTCAAACCTTTACCTCAAGCTCTTCAAACTAGTCTTTGGCTCAGTCTCACTTTTTGCTGCTGAGAATGAGCAAATGCTCAAGGTAAGTGGATGTCTTATGTTTTTTGTGTGAGGGTAGTTTTTTCTTTATCTTTGTCACTCTTTACTGAAATGACTGTCCCTGTTTCCTCAGCCACACCTCCACAAGATAGTGAACAGCTCCATGGAGCTGGCCCAATCTGCTAAAGAACCCTACAACTACTTTCTGCTTCTCCGGGCTCTCTTCCGCTCCATTGGTGGAGGCAGCCATGACCTGCTCTACCAGGAGTTCCTACCCCTTCTACCTAACCTGCTGCAAGGTAAAGCCGCACACACCGTTATCCTGAACCGAAGACAAGTGTGAAAAAGTGTACCCCTCTGAAATACTTATCTACCCTAATTTCCAATCTTCCCTTTCCATCGATTAGGTCTGAACATGCTGCAGAGTGGCCTTCACAAGCAGCACATGAAGGATCTATTTGTTGAGTTGTGTTTGACAGTGCCAGTGCGTCTGAGCTCCCTGCTTCCCTACTTACCCATGCTAATGGATCCGCTGGTGTCTGCCCTCAATGGCTCTCAGACTCTGGTCAGCCAGGGTCTTCGCACCCTTGAGCTGTGTGTGGACAACCTACAGCCTGACTTCCTCTACGACCACATTCAGCCTGTCAGGGCAGAGCTCATGCAGGTGGGCGACCAATAATTCCACCAATAATCACCAACTAAATTCCCACATGACCAATCCCATATTTTACTAAACATGACTATATGAGGGACCTTTGGATCCAAATAAGTAGTCTGATTCATATCAATTTCTAATCCATCATTAGTCATATCATGCTACCTCTATGGTGCTCATATCAGTTGGACATGGCCATATCGGTAGACCAAATACTTCTGAACTGAGTAGAGTGCATAATGGATAGATATGATTCTGATAATATTATGACTGCAATGCCATCAACATACAGTAGCTACCTACTGGGACTTTGCCAGCAGTTTGCCAATGTTTAGTGTAGGATAGCTGTAATGATTATCAAAACTGTCATGACTTCACAGTCAACACCAAAGCTTATAACTTCCCTCCATATCTTCCTTGCCTGCAGGCCTTGTGGCGTACCCTCCGTAACCCAGCTGAGAGCATCTCTCATGTAGCCTACCGGGTGTTGGGAAAGTTTGGTGGCAGCAACAGAAAGATGCTGAAGGAGTCTCAGAGGCTGCATTACGTGGTGACTGAGGTTCAGGGACCAAGCATCAAAACCGAATTCACGGACTGCAAGGCATCCATACAGCTACCCATGGAGAAGGTGGGTAGTATGGGCTAATAGTGGCTAATAGTGAATTCTTGCATGATGCTCTCCACTTTGTTAGGTTGTTTGCGGAACTCTGAAGAGAAAGGTGTTTGGATGATTTCACTCAGTCTGAAGACCCCCTTTCTCCCCTTTTTACCTTTTGTATTTCAGTTCTAGAAAGAGAATTAAACGTAAAAGAGCTTGATATTCCTCATTATTGTGCCCCACTGAGAGCAATATATCCTTGTCAGGGGTTTGTGTGTGTGAGAGAGAGAAAGTGAGCGAGGAGATGTGTGTGTCCTCCAGGTAATTAAATTCATCTCCTGTTTCTCCTCCTCATCCCCAGTCAGTAATCATCAATCTAGTGTGGGCCACCATGACGGCATTATTTACTCTCACTAATGGCTGCTGCTTCTTTCTGGCTATCCGTCTGTGTGTTTGCCATCATCGTGGGTGCAAGCAGCACACACACACTCACACATGCTGCATAGCCACATGCACAGGCTGAAGGCATGAATCTCTAGCAGGGTTATGATATAGCTCATGGTACAGCTATACAGTTAGTTGGCACATTGAGAGAGTTTAAAGTGCTGTGAGGTAGACGGCAAGATCAAATAACACTGATCTGAAAAACTTGAACAGTCACAATCCATCAATCACTGGTTTTGACCTGCAAATCTTTGAAATTCTTCTGCTTCTTTTACCTTTCAGGGATTCTTATTTTTTTACTGACCACTTCAGAAATATTTTCTAGGAAGTCAATTCTCTCAAAAGGCTTACGTGAAAAGCTGTGTTTTCTTCGAAATGTGCGTGAAAAAATCAACTTCTCTTTCTCTTTAATTTCATATGAGTATTAGTAATTGCGTAGTTGTCAGTCTCAGTTCTGACATTCTAATACTCTGATAGGTCTACAATTCAATTCTGCTGCCCTTATCTCTCTTCTCATCCTCCCTCTATTCTTACATCCTTTTCATCTTCTCCCCTCTGTTCTGAGTGGCATTAATTAGTTCATTTTCTCCCTTTTAAGTGCCTGGCTGCTGTTGGTTGTCAGCCCATAATGTAGAAATCATAATGACCTTTGCTTGGCCAGATGGCACCCTGTGTTACTTCCTGCAAATGAATCACATTTACTTAGATCAATTTCAATTCAATTCCCATATTAATATTTTAGGAATATTGGCATTTTGCAACATGTTATTTCAGAATATAAAATGGAGAAGATTTTGATGTATGATTTGTCTGGTTTAATCCTTCCAAGGCGATAGAGACAGCTCTAGACTGTCTGAAGAGTGCCAACACAGAGCCCTACTACAGACGACAGGCATGGGAGGTCATTAAGTGTTTCCTGGTAGCCATGACCAGTCTGGATGATAACAAGCACGCTCTTTACCAACTTCTGTCTCATCCCAAGTAAGAAAACGTTCTTGGTTTCATTTTGACTGTAGCATATGCTTAGATATTCTGGTAATTGTCATATATTTACATTTAAGTGATTGTTCGGTTACAATGCTGTATTGAATACTAAATTAAAGATGTATACATTTTAACTAGGAAAAATGAAGCTACCATGATCTGATTTTTGATTGATTACTTTACAGACATGACATATTCAGTATATGTTCTATACTGTATCACTGAGGTGACAAAATGCGTTTGGCGATGGATCCATGCACAGCTAGCTGTCCCATCAATCATCTACCTCTTTAACCTTTAACCTTTACCTGACTCAACTTGACCTTGACCTCTACCCCTGCCCACTACTTAACCCACCATTCCACATCAGCTATGTGTATGCCGTTCCACCTCGCCATTACCTCCACCCCTGCCCTGCCTCCTGCTGACGTGCCCGGTTTTCGGTCTCTCACGTCATATCTTCCCCAATCTCCCCACCACACGCTGCCTCATCAATTCTGTGTCAAGAGCGGGACATGCTAATTACACACTCGCAGGCTCGCCCACCACCACCCTCTGGCAGGCTTCATTGCAAGGCAGAGACACATACATGAACAGACAAACGGGAAGGGGGGGTTCATTGTCGGGTGGGTTAGTCACATTACCATCATTGATCCCCGGGCAGGGGCTAATTGTCTTTCCTCTGTCTATTTACGCTAAACCATGCCCCTTACACTCTCCTGTCATCACGCACTAATACACACATGCACATGAATACGTCTGTGTGCACATTTCTGTGTGGATAATGAAGTGTGTCAGTTCTGATCAGGGGCCTGCACCTGCCGCCTCCACTTGTCCGATGTCTCGATTTGCTCTTGAAAGATTATGTCTCCTTTTTTCTCTCACTGCCTCCCTTCATCTTCTTCACACCATCTCTCTTGCCTCAGTATAGTACTAGTCTTTCAGTTATAAAAGAAAAAATATACATAGAGCAAATTGTGACATGCAACTAAGGAGAATGGAGAAGCGTTGGAGTTGCAGGCCCCCGAATGAGTGAAGGGCAATTGATCTGACATTCTGTCAATGCCACCCTTCTACTTTCTCCACCCGCCAGGTTCCTTGCTCCCCCCTCCCACTTCCCTCTCCCTCCTCCAAAGAGTAGTCTTTTAAATGGCAATAATGAAATGAAGCGATCCATCAGGTCTGCCCCTGGCGTGTGGCATTATAAAACACAAGCTCAAGCATGGAGCAAACAGCTGCTCAATCACACCACAGCCCAGTTGCCTTCAGCTGCAGTAAATAACAAAAATACCAACGAGGGACAAAGGGAGACAGGAATATAAAGGCAGACGGAGCTAAGAGGAGAGAGAACATTTAAGGACAAGGAGAGTTACAGGACTGCAGACAAGCAATGGACTTTCAATGGATGGCAATGGATCCTTATTTAGAATTTGGGACGAATGGACTGACCATATACTATTATGATTTTTGAGCTTAAAGAAAGTTTTAGTGTCATATGTTATTATGTTGTCCTTGTTAATATGTAATCCTTCATTGTGTGCTATTCCTCCCCCATTAGCTTCACTGAGAAGTGGATCCCCAACGTCATCATCTCTCACCGCTACAAAGCACAAGACACACCTGCCCGCAGAACTTTTGAACAGGCCCTGACTGGGGCATTCATGTCTGCTGTGATAAAGGACCTGAGGCCCAGCGCGCTGCCCTTCGTAGCCAGCCTAATTCGCCATTATACCATGGTCGCTGTGGCTCAGCAGTGTGGTGAGGGACTGGTGCTCTTCTTACTCTCTCCATCTAATATTAGCTTTTTGTTTTGCCCTGGCATTGGCATTTATTCCCAGCTGCTCAGGAAAATCAATCACTTTCCACTTTTGTCCTTTCTCTGTTTGTTTTTTTGTTTTTTTAAGTTCTGGCCTTTTCATGTTATATTTGACACGACATAAACATAGAATAGAAATATAATATTTATATTAAACTATAACTTATAGGTGCAGTTGTATCATGGTTTCATCTGTATTAATATTCCCATATTTCTCATTAAACTCTCTTTCTTGAACCCAGGTCCGTTTCTGCTGCCATCCTACCAGCTGGGCAGCCAGCCAAGCACAGCCATGTTCCACAGTGAGGAGAATGGCTCAAAGGGCATGGATCCACTCGTTCTGATTGATGCCATAGCTATCTGCATGGCCTACGAGGAGAAGGAGCTGTGTAAGATTGGAGAAGTGGCCCTTGCCGTCATCTTCGATGTGGCGAGCATCATCCTTGGCTCCAAGGAGAGGGTAAATCACTGGGAGGAGATTGTTGGAGGGTTTCACTTTTTACGTTCATTGTGCCAGTTGTTTTGTAGCTGTGGTAAACTGTGCTGGCCATTTACTTAACTTGGGGGAAATTATTTCAATGTAAGATCAACCTTCTGAAAATAACTATTATGACAAATTGTTGCCTAGCATTTACATATTGGAGTTTGAAAAGGACATCTGATACACCTTTAATCAAATTCAGAGGCTTTTGTCATTTTACTATTATCACTACTGTTTGATTTATGTTTTAACATGTGTATAGTTTTTAAATGGGAATTGGTTAATCATCCTGGACTCTTCATCTTCAGGCATGCCAGCTGCCCTTGTTCTCCTACATTGTGGAGCGTCTGTGTGCCTGCTGCTATGAGCAGGCCTGGTATGCCAAGCTTGGCGGTGTGGTGTCCATCAAGTTCTTAATGGAGAGGCTCCCTCTGATCTGGGTGCTACAGAACCAGCTCACCTTTCTCAAGGCCCTGCTCTTTGTCATGATGGACCTCACAGGAGAGGTGAGAGGAAATTACTGAATAATCTCATATTTAGCAAATCATTTCAAAAGGAGTAGAAGATTTACTTGCTTCCGTTTGTTGTTGTTTGTTGTCTTCACGTGATGTTTTACAAAGGATTGCAGCAGGTGCCGTGTAACAACGTGTAACTTTCCTCTACCGCTGAACTCTCACAGTAGTGCCATTGAACTTAGTACTATATTGATTTTCATAAGGTGTCAAATGGAGCAGTAGCCATGGCTAAGACCACCCTGGAGCAGTTGCTTGTGCGCTGTGCAACTCCACTAAAAGATGAAGAAAAGACTGAGGAGCTGCTGGCTGCCCAGGACAAGTCTTTCCACACGGTCACGCATGACCTGGTCCGTGAGGTCACCTCCCCCAACTCAACCGTCAGAAAGCAGGCCATGCACTCCCTGCAGGTGCTAGCTCACGTCACCGGCAAGAGTGTTACCGTCATCATGGAACCACACAAAGAGGTGAAACCAAGGACTTTAAAATTTTCTATAACTGTATATCAGGATTTAATTCCGTGACACATTTGTGATTTGTGTGAAATGCACCTGTCTTTTCAACTTAAACACAAAGTCACTATGGACTGAAACCTCTTGAGAGTTTTTTAATTTTGAAATTAAACTTGAGAGTGAAACACAAGATGTCTTTTAATTTGCATTAATGGATTGTTTTCTTTGGGTTTCTTTCCCTTCAGGTGTTGCAAGATATGGTTCCTCCAAAGAAACACCTGCTCCGCCACCAGCCTGCCAACGCCCAGATCGGCCTGATGGAGGGCAACACCTTCTGCACCACCCTGCAGCCACGCCTCTTCACAATGGACCTCAATGTCATGGAGCACAAGGTCTTCTACACAGAGGTATGGAAGATGCAGAAGTCATTAACATTAGCATTAATTAATTCATAATGTACTTTTTCTATTTTTTTTTTCTTAATTTAGCATATTCAGAGATAAATGACACAATAGGTACAATGTTGCAGTATATTATGCAAAGGAATTTCAGGCTTAGATCATGCTTTTTTTTTTGTACAAAATATTAAAATGAGAAGTGTGTGTGCTCATCAACCTTAGCCATTTTACAGTGGACATAAATATCTTAACCACTTTTAGCACTCTGATTATTGATGTGTGTTTTTCCCCCTCTCTAGCTGTTGAACCTGTGTGAGGCAGAGGATGCTGCTCTGATGAAGCTTCCCTGTTACAAGAGCCTCCCCTCCCTGGTTCCCCTGCGCATCGCTGCTCTCAGTGAGTAGGACCTGCTGAACTTGATATTGGTCCCGATGTATTGTTTGAATTTTGCAATTGATGCTTACTCATTTTTTGTGTTGGTTGCATTGTTCTGGATGGAAACAATTCAATATAATATAATGGTCTGTCATGTTAGCAGAGACTGTTTTGATAATTATGGTTGAGCATATTCTGTCCCTTAATCTTTGTTTTACTGCTGTGTGAATTGAATTAATAACTGTCTTACTAAAACGTAAAAAGCATTGGTGAAAATTTGAATTATGTTTGGATGTTTTATTTTAATGATTTAGACACCTCTAGTCTGTCGTCACAAAGGAAGTGTTGATCGTTACTGGTGTTCTTTTTTTTCTGTTTAGATGCCCTGGCAGCCTGTAATTACTTGCCACAGTCCAGAGAGAAGATCATTGCTGCCCTGTTTAAAGCCCTCAACTCCACCAACAATGAACTGCAGGAAGCGGGCGAGGCGTGTATGAGGAAGGTCAGTGCAACATCTCTCATCATTTTGCTGCTTTGCAGTTGTTTTAGAGTTGGGTAATAACGCATAACATGATGACATAAAGGAAATAGTTAGTCTTGAACGTATTGATTTCTCATATTTCCAAAATCACTTATTAGACTTGTCATATACAATATCATGATGTCATCATACACAAAGCCTGAGAGGAAAATGTACTGTTTGTCCTTTTTTATGGTTTACATCCAAAATCCCAGTGTTGTGGAAATTTTCAGGGACGCAGTGTTCTGAAATGTACACATTTTTATAATCCACAATCTCAAGACTGTCTTTATTTCACTACTGTCTTGGCATTTTTATACATTGGCTCCTTTTTGTTTTGGAATTAATTCGGAGTTTATATCGATTACTTAGAAAGCTCAGACCTGGGTTATATCACTCACTTCAACTGCAATTCCCTTTGAGTAAAAACACAGCCAGAGACCCACAGACGTGACCTTTCTAAATCTGGATTAAAGACTGTGCCCTTAAGATATGAAGCGGTCTACCAAAGATCAGACTAGTGAATTTGGTAGCACCTTTTAAATCCTTTCTAAAATTACATTTTCTACACCTTTTTGAAATGGCCTCCTACTGTGTCACCCTTGTACTTTCTCCTCTTCATTTATCTTGTTTGTATTATTTGCTCCTATGTTATTTTATGTTTAATTTTCTAAGTATAGTATTTTATTATCTTGTTTTCCATTGTCCTGTTCCTTCCTGCTTCGTTAGTCTTTTATCTGTATCACTCATGTCATTTGCCATCTTAGAAGTCTTTTGTTAATCCTCTCCTCATGCCATTTCCCCACCCACTTATCTTCATATGGACCTCCCTCTGCTTTATCACACTCTCCCTGAACCATTCCTGCCTCTATTCATCAAAGTATCCATACAATCTTAGCCTCTATCCATCTACCCCAAGCTCTTTGTCTCTTTTTCCTTCAATTTATGTGTCCTTCATTTTCTTTCTTTACCACCATCACTACTTTTCACTATCCTGTGATTTTTTTATTTATTTTTTGCCTAGCCATTCTCTGCTCTCCCCATGCTTTCATCTCTGCCCTGCTAGCACTAATGAGCGTTGCCATGGCCCGATCGATACAGGATGGAGTGTTTGTTCTCAGCACTGAGAGGAAAATGAATGTGGCTGCCATGCATCATTCCCTCCCGTCTGTGTGAGGGTGTTGGGTGTGCGTCACCAGTGTTTGGCGTTGGCATGTATGCTTGTTTACGGCTGATCATGCCCTCATTAGAGTGGCCTTCGTTTATTAATGGAGACACAAGGGGTAGTGAGCAGTTCAACACAAGACCAGATCAGATGTAGTAAAAAGAAACATTTGTGGAAGGAAAGTACATTGATTTAGTTCAATTCACAGACCTGAATGATACTAAGTTTTTTTTTTTTTTTACTATAAGTTTTTTTTTAATGTAGATTTGGCACCATTGAGCAAAATAAGCCTGTGTTAGACCGACTACACCTTAGATATTTCAACAACACTATCTTGTTTCTTTTATAGTATTCATTTTAAGTGTCATGTTAAACTTTTTGGAATGGTAAATAATATTTTCCTGTACCTTATTTTAGTTCCTGGAAGGTGCAACTATTGAGGTGGACCAAATCCACACTCACATGCGCCCCCTACTGATGATGCTGGGTGACTACCGCAGCCTGACGCTCAACGTGGTGAACCGCCTTACCTCTGTCACTCGTCTTTTCCCCAACTCCTTCAATGACAAGTTCTGTGATCAGATGATGGTGAGAAACTTCAAACTCTGACCTCTTCCTCATCTCACAACATCTTTTATTCAAAACACCTGACCACACTAAATTCAGTTTATCTTGGCATGAACATGGAGAACGTGGCAACCAAACCTTTTAACTGTGGCAGTATAACTATAAGAGAATAAATAAACTATTAACTAGATTCTTCTACAGAATTATGATATTATAAAAAATAGTAACATTATTACTTACAATTGTTATTGGCAATAATATCATAAAAACATAACCTACAAGACTTGCATTGCCACAATATATTGGTATTGTTTCTGAAAACATATACTATTAAGCATTTAAACTGGTATGCCATGTGCAGATATGATTCTTGTTTGCAGCTGCTGTCCTTTTTAGGTTAATCATTTTGGGGTAAAAAAACCTGCAGGGCTCACGTGGTTTGTATATAGTGTCAGGTCATGGTGCGACAATGGTTACTATACTGTGTGCACATTTGTCCACTGTATAATAGTTTCATGTTTAAACAAAGCTTTGCAGCAGAAGTATTTTAAAAATGTGTTATTTAGTAGTTATTACTTAAAACTCCTCAGTAAATTTTCGGTTGTTTCTCTCTTTCTCAGCAACACCTGAGGAAGTGGATGGAGGTGGTTGTAATAACACACAAGGGAGGCCAGCGCAGTGATGGCAGTGTAAGTATACACAGTTCAGACATACAGACAGCCCCGCACATACCTTACAGCACTGAAACTGAATACAAATGCAGTGAAGGGTTGTCTTGTTTCTTTCATTTACATATGTAGAAATCTCATTTGAATGCAATACAGAAGTAGTTATAGCCTAAAGGAGCACGCCAATACAGCTGTCTACTGGCACACTTTTTTTCATTTAGTTGACTTGTCCTGTCTAAACCAAACCGCATTCACTGAAGGGACAGAGAAATTGCCCCTTACACACACACAAAGCCATAGTCCCATGTAGTCAACACCTCCTCAGTGTGGACTCCTCCCAGATGAGTTGTGAGTGGCCATATTACAATCAATGATTAATTAGGCGCCAGGCAGGCGGTGGTGGGCCCAGCGCTGCGTCTCCTCATTATCTCCCCGACAGATAACCTTGTAAAGGCAGAGAAAAGGTGAGAGAGAGGGAAGGGAAAAAACAGCTGCCTCTCCCTCATAGAAATAATGTCCATTTTTCCCTCCCTTCCTTTTATGTGAGTTCATCCTGCCGCATATCAAAATGGTGTGCTTAATTAGATGCAAATTGGCCCTTTGTCTTTCCCTCCCTCCAACTTGTGGTCTTTGTGCGTGTTGACAGCGAGGCTGGCAGTGACAATAAAGCCAGGGTCAAGGGGTCAATTAGCTTAGCCTGATAAAGACAAAAACTGGAGAAAGAGGGATGGAGCCGGGCCGAGGCGGATGGTCTTAGGACATGTAGGCATGTAAGAGAGTTTTGACAGACAGGGAAGAATATGGAGTGGACTAACAAGCTGTGAGGAGGAGTAAAAAGCTTGTTTAAAAGAAAGAGAAAAACAATTTAAATTTGACTGAAAGGGTTCAACAAAATCAAAATGTCAGTTTCTGTATTCATGGCCTGATATCTGTCAGAAGAATGTTTTTTCTCCAAATGCCACGGATCCTGTGTTGCTCGACTAGCATTCCAGTATGGCCCCTGCCCCCTTATTCACCCACTGCTGAGAAAAGTTGTTCCAGAGGTCACTTGTAAAGGTTGCCGCTGTCTCTGCATTCATTTCATTATCACCCTGTCTTATCTGCTCACCTACCATATGGAACAAAGACAGACAACACACAGCCACACAAAAATGCACACATACTGCTCTGCTGACTCTGATCATTGTCTCCCGTTCCGGTACAGCCTGCGTTGGAGGGCGTTGAGGTGAGATGTGACCTGGTGTTGCGCCCTCTGTTGGTGACTCTGTCAGTGATTTTAAACTTCGTTAAACCAATGTTGTGCTGGTGAATTGAACCAATGTTGTGGTAGTGGTGCTGGTGGAGTTGCCCTGTATTTCTGTGTCCGTGTGTCTGTGGTCGTCTTCAGAAATGTTAAAGTCATCTCAGCCTCGTTCTAACCTCACATTTTGACTGTTGTAGAAATGTTATCCCCCTTTTTCTTCTACCTCTAAGATATGGATACTACAGGGTTTATTAAAATGATCATGAAAGTGTTCTTTAATTGTTTGTGCCCTATGCAAATGTAATCCAAGACTCCGAGTGGTGCTCCATACCAACTGTGGAAAGTTGGCTTTCTAATGAGCACAAATTGCATATGCAGTTGTTTTACTAAGATTCATCCTCGTCTTTCCACAGTGGCTGTCCATCAAGACTGTCTGTCAGAAATTATTTCCGTGTCTAGTTCCGTCATCTTTTCAAGAATTTAATTCACTCCCTTCTCTCCTCCGCTCTTTTTCTCTGACTCTTTCTCTAGGAAATGAAGATCTGTTCTGCCATCATTAACCTTTTCCACCTGATCCCAGCCGCACCTCAGACTCTGGTCAAACCTCTACTGGAGGTGGTCATGAAGACAGAGAGGGCTATGCTCATAGAGGTAGGACACCAACTCCACTCCTAGGACAGTCCCTGCACGTCCATCCTATCGTATTTTAGAAGTAGCGTAAAAATACACCACACCATGATTGAAGCGAGAAAAGATATGTGGAAAATGGCTGTTGTTAAAGGATGTTACAGCTTGAAAAAGGTTAAATTGACGTTACTTAATAAGCTTCATAGTAAGAGTAAGAATGCATGATAATTTTATGATAAATACTTAAAAACTCTAATAATCTCATGATATTGTCTGCTTCCTAATCCATTTTGATCTATAGCTGATGTATAGTCTTAATGGTACATTACTGCTGTTAAGCACACATATTCAGAGTGATAGTGAAGTGATAGAATCTAAATCTGGATTCTTCTTTTTTTTCTTTGCTATTTGTCTTCTGTCTCATTCATCCATCCTGTGCCAGGCCGGCAGTCCATTCAGGGAGCCTTTGATCAAGTTCCTGACGCGTCACCCATCTCAGACAGTGGAGCTGTTCATGATGGAGGCTACGCTGAACGACCCCCAGTGGAGCCGCATGTTCATGGTCAGACACTGGCAGTTTTAAGTAGCAGTCCCCTCAGTCTTTTCATTGATACATTTGCTATTAAAACAGCATTTTGTTACCTCAGTAATTGGCTAAAATTAGGGATATATTGGGTGTTTTGAGGCTCGCTGGTCCTGTTAACCCCATATATAAATGGATGGATATATCCCAGTAAAAATTGTTTCTTTAAATGAAATGTTTCTTTAAATTTGTTGTTGACCTAGTGCAGTACACATTCTTCTCTCTAGTCTCACTATATGTAATTTTGTGTGTATAGTTACAGTATGTTTATGTGTTTATATGCAGAGTTTTCTGAAACACAAAGATGCCAAGCCACTAAGAGACGTGCTGGCCTCTAATCCCAACCGCTTCGTCCCTCTACTGGTTCCCGCTGGCACTGCAGCGACTGTTCGACCTGGATCTCCCTCCACCACCACAGCCAGACTGGACCTACAGTTTCAGGCTATCAAGGTATACATGTTTTCATTAGTGTTCCGTCAGTATTTACATCCTGTATACACAACTGCATCTTGTCAGGTGCGATGTGTGTAATTTCATTATATTGCCTCAAACCTTTTTTTTCTTTCTCTGTCCAGATTATCAGCATCATAGTGAAGAATGATGAGGGTTGGCTGGCAGGGCAGCACTCCCTGGTCAGCCAGCTGAGGCGAGTCTGGGTCAGTGAGGCCTTCCAAGAGAGACATCGCAAAGACAACATGGCTGCCACCAACTGGAAGGAGCCCAAGCTGCTGGCTTACTGCCTTCTTAGTTACTGCAAGTATGTACACTCAAATTGTAATGGGGATATGTTTGCCTAAATGTTGGACAGTTTGACATTTGAGACCGAAATTACTCGACAACAGTGTGTAAGATTGTTTGTGTAAGGACTACAAGCATATAATGCAAATGTTTAAAGTTGGTGCAGTCCCTAACTTTAACTAACTTAATGGCATTCCAATCATGAATGACCTTCTCACCCTACCTCTCTATTGAGCACAGAGAAAGTGCTAAAACACTTGGTGCACTAGGCACTTAGCAGATGCTTATTGTAGACCCTGCAATTAACCCCAACCACTCCAGCCAGTAATGTTAGTGTGTGTGTTCAGTTGACCTTTTGATAAACAGACTTTTTTTAAGTGTTAAACTGGCTAAATACACATTGGTATCTAAGCTTATTTGAAAGTTCTGTTGTACAATATCACTGTTGTGTTGACATACGATCATCTCTCTCTCTCTTCTCTCTCCTTCTCTCTCTCTCCTCTCTCTCTTCTCTCTCTCTCTCTCTCTCTCTCTCTCTCTTCTCTCTCTCTCTCTCTTCTCTCTCTCCTCTCTCTCCTCTCTCCTCTCTCTCTCCTCTCCTCTCTCTGTGTGTGTGTGAATTATTGACCCCCTGTCTCTTCATAGGTGTAACTACTCAGAAATTGAGTTGCTGTTCCAGCTGCTGCGGGCCCTTTACAGGTCCGGTTCCTTATGCAATATGACCTTCTAAAGGTATTATATGAGGAGGAGAATTCTAAGGAAAAAGTACTCCATCGCCCAGAAACGGGCCCTGTTGTTGTTCTTTCGCTTTGTTGAGTTCAAATGAACCCACACTTCAAACGATGAGCTTAAAGCTAAGGTATGTACACAGGCAATCAGAGCAGGACAGTCAATTTATGACTATATGTT